CGGGGGGCATTGATTTTCAAAATGAGTGGGAAGCGGACTTAACCTGAATATTCATCACCTCCGTAAATTCTAATTCAAAGATCCCGCGATTACGGAAGGATTATGTGAGATTCTTTAGTGCCGGACACACGTCAGAGTAACAGTTACTTTGTTATAAATGACGTGATATCTGAAAGTCTTTATCCGGCTGAACTTTCACGGAAGCTGGATGGGCGATGGAATAAATTTTATTCGGACGCGAAAGAACTCGCGGACTCTCGACCGTTAACGAAATCAGTAGCGCCGGCGAGAAACTTTTTCGTCGAGCCCTATGTGCGTTGAAAAAGTTCCGAACACTCCCGCATGCTGCAGGCGGGATGGAATCCTCGTGACATATCCCGTCAAATTCCGCCGAATCACAATAGAGGCCGCGGAGCACGGGTATCACATTCAGCCCGCTCCGTTTGCTCCCCGTTTCGGCCCGCTGAATCACACCGAGAGCACTTTGCGCGTAATGAGTACGAGCGTTAAATCCCGCTAAGAATGGAGTGTGTCCTGCGTCTCACCTGTCTTGTCCGGGCGAATTACAGACTCTCTCGCGCATGAACCTCCCGGTGTCGACGCGGAAAGATTCCCCCTGCTGACGCTTCGCATCCTGTGAGCGGGCTCGCCCCGTTGACGCTTTTTGCGGCAATCCGACGGACGGGCAGCGCGATTACGTCTGGTAAATTTGACGATCGGAATTTGCCCCGCTGTAATTCGCGCGCCGCGATATCACGAATTTATTATCGGGGAATATGTCACCGGCTGTAAACAGTTGGCCGTGATACCAGAAATATCGCAGGGCTAAACGGTAGTTAAAAGCAATGGATTTTAGCACCTCGTCAGACCGTTAAATTATCGAAACCGCCGTGCAAACCGTTCGAGCTTCGCGTCCCTTTCTCGACGTATTTTGGAAACGAACGAATTTACTAGCAATTTTTCGGATAATTGTACTCACACAAATCCTTGCTCCGGTATTTCACGCGAGGGAAAAATTACTTGCCGGCATAGCGACAAATTTTACGCTGTCGCAGCAACAACTGTCAGTTACTGTATGAACAGTAAAATCTTCTCCGTGTATATTTCATAATCATACTTAGGTTAGACAGTAAAATCAGCTATATATATCAGCTATAGTTGATGTCGTACTTTTTGACTGCTACATAGCGTTAAAATTCTTTGATTTTGTAATCTTTTCCACCCGATAAGAAATACTATTATTATTATTATATATGCTGATTCGATTTACAACCGTAAACTGCATTGTATCGGAAAGTCATTGAGTTCTAAAATCACATGATTTTGTAATCGTTAGATTTGGAAATCTTCGGATTTGAAAACCGAGGATAATTTCAGGAGAGTTTTCGAAGAATCGCGGGAGAGACATTGGAAATTCGACTTTACCGTCTCTGTGTCGCGATACGCTCGACGATTTAGTCATCCTCGCATCTCCATTTTACGCTCAAAAGTTCGCGTCGCTCCTCAAAATTCCCTGTTCCTTGTCGCCCGATACTTCAGACGCTTGAAAACTCGTGCCTCCCCATGCACAGTTTTCGATCTTTCGCATTCTTTTATCGTCCGGGCGCACCCTTAAATTTTCACACCCATCGAAGCGTCAAGTTACGGGATATCGAGCCGTGCGCAACGCGTCAACGCATCGGACCGCAACATTACAAACGTCCGAAACTACAACATCAACGGCTGTAAACAGCATTGTCTACTGCAGATGTAACCGAACTTCCATATGTCAAAAAAGTTCCCCAACATTCGGACGGGCACGTACACTCAACTCCTGTTTAGCGCGATGCAATATCTTTATTTCTTCGGCGTAATAATTACTGCGAGATTTTACGATAAAAATGGTGGCTTAATTACTCGCGTGGTCGATGTATCGCCGACATTATTATCCTCCCAGCGGGAAATAATTATTCGCCACCAACATTCTCGTACGGCTTTTATTGGCCAAATATTAATTCTTAGTAAAGACCTGAATTCCAAACTGAGAAAAAAGTGCTAACGTTCAACTAATATTTACTTAATCCAAGTAAAGTGGTTACTTCAATATTCCTTGGTAGAAATATTTATCAGAAATAATAATCAGAAGTACTTATTAGAAATATTAAATGATTGATATATAATACGATATTTCTTTCGTATAAGTAGACATTTACTTGTATGTATTAAAATAATAACGACAAGTGTTAAATCTATGCTATTGAGAATATCAGAATTTATTTATAAGAAATATTTATATACTAGAAAATTTATACAGAGAAATCGAAATTTAAAACTATTAGGTTTCTCCAATGGAAGAGAAAAATTATATGATTCCAGTAAATGTTCTCTTAAATTTAGAACCATTTTATATTTCCATTCAGTAATTCATTTACAAATTAAGATATTACTACGTTCAAGTAAATATTTACTAAAAGCTATTAAATGTATTTAAATTGATAAAAATATTACTTGATTTAAGAGGCTGAAAAACATTTAATTACGGTAAAAACATTCTGTGTCAAAATTAGTCATCGCCAAAACACCTGTTAAAAATTTTCGATATAACCGCCCAATGTTATATTAACGTACCGTATTCATGTCATATTATTATTGTGCCGAGTCGATATTCAACATGTGTAAGTATTAACATAACATTTTATACTTCATTGTCGATTAATATATTATTGGTGTTATAATTTTGTGTTGATTTTTTACATGATACTTGTATTAGTTTTCCAAANTGTTAATTTTACTGTATATTAGTAGAGACATATTTTATAAGTTAAAATTTGCAGACAATTTGTGTCAATTATCCTCAGTTGTTATTTTAAATCTTGGACAATACAAAACACGTGTATCTAGACCACAGAAGTAGAGTAGTATGTATGAGTATAAGTAACTTAAAATCCAGAGTTCGAATCTCATTAGCGGTAAACATGTTTTTCAAATATTCATCGAATCAATTAAACGGCACATAAATTAAAAAGAAATATTGGGGCAAAATCACTGACAACATTCTAAGAGCAATACGGTGAAAAAGAAGCGACAAATAACATTTTTTTAATATAACATTTATTATATTTGACATGATATATAGGTCAATTTAATGTCACAATTTGCTTCTGAATAATATCAAAGTATTACGTATTTCGCGTTGATTTTTGACATAATAATATTAATATTACTTTCCAACATATTCACATATGTGTTAAATAAAAATTTGGACAGGCCGTTTTTGGGACGTGTGAATGTGTTGAATTCAACACCAAATTTTTTGCGCGTTTACTTGATTCCAGCACTTTTTCGTGTGCCGGAGTTCCGCAGGTAAACGCCGGTTTATCAAACGAGCGGGATCGAGATCGTCGTCTCGGGGAGAAAGATGATTCCCCGAGAGCGCGCGAGAGGGTGGATTCTCGCGGCACGAAACTTTTCGCTACGTGTAGATCTGCGCGACCTCTTTCCGCTCGAATAAACCAAGCCGCTATTCGCGCGTGAGATTAATTAGCCGGCGGAAGACGGTGCAATTGAGCGCAATTGAGCGAGCCAATTAGCGGTCTCGGCGCAAGACTGAAAAGCTCTCGAGCTGTTGCGACGCGAGTTTATTCGGAGCGTGCGGGCTCACGCGTCCTTCGAGAGGAGGACATCGATCTGCGAGGTGGGCCGTAAGGAGCGACGCGCTCCTCTCGACAGGTCCCTAGACAACCCTGAAGTCACTGCACAAGGGTCCTTCCGTTGGCAGAACTGAATCGATAGTCGACTGTCCTTTTCTTCGCGCGTCCCCACGAGCCTGCGCGCTCCGACGACGACTCTGGAGGACAGACATTCCAACCGGCGGCGAGTCCCGCTCGGCGACACCTCGATTTCCCGATATCGCGGTAATATTGAGGAAATTTCGCCGGATAAACGAGCGCACGGCGACTCACCCTCACTATTGATCGGCCGCACGAGGTCAGACGTGGGAATTTCAGCACTCGGAGCGACTCGATTGACGACGGGCCGCGTGCGATGGTAGCGTGGAAGATCTAATTTCGCGGAAATGAATCCTCAAGCTCGACACAGACGTGACGCAGAGTCGGCCAATCCGCGGAAAGCCCTCCGACTGATCCGTAATCCAGGCACAAAGCAAACTATTAAGCTCGCGTGACAGGTGTAGCAGCCACACCAGCCGCTCTCGCAGTAGCTTCCGCAGGTTCGCCCGGCTGACGGCAGCGGCGCAGCATCCAACCCCAAAGTGTAATCCGTGGAATCGACCGTGGCGCGCTCCACGGACTCGATAGTGGAGGCTCTGGCGTCGCGTTGCGCGAGAGCTTGCGGAGCTTTCCATTCCGGTGCCGTAGTCCGTCTCGCGAGCTTCGCGGCGACGTTGGATACGTCGCGTCGTGCCGGGTATCGCGCCACCCTCCGTCGTTCAAGGGTGCCATCACGCGCGCTCACAGCGAGGAATGCACGCGCGCGGACATCTCGTCGCCGGTTCCGCGAGGCTGGACGCTCGCGCGATTTGAACGTCCGACGGGGATGTGATGTTCAGTGTCGACGACGGGAACCGCTCCGGCGATTAGCGCGAGAGGAGGATGGTGGATAGATAGGAACCGGTGGGCTGAGATACGCGGTAATTAGGGATTTGTCGCAACGTAGACTCGCGGAAACTCGCCGGTGAAGACAGCGTGGAAAAGGGGAGAGGTGGAAGATTTGAACGGCGCGTGTTTCCATCAGTGTGATTAACGCGATTAACGCGTGTCGGAATCTACGTGCCAGTGATACATGTGTATCGGAGATCGCCGGGGAAGAATTTTTCCCCACCCCACGCGGAACAAATTGATCGGCCGTGGGGGAGTGGATGGGGAATGTTGCGATAAAGAAGATTCATAAACGCCGTGAACTCGCCGTGCACAGTGCGCAGTTTCTCGCGGATTAATCCGAAATTCGCGTGTTCATTTCGCCCGGCGGCGACAGGGCGGGATTGTGTGTGCGTTTTACAGTGATCGCCGGAGAAATGTGCCGAGTTCAGTGAGTTCCGTCGGATCCCATTGAATGGAGCTCCCGAATGGTGAGCACCTGATTTCATCGTTACACCAACCCTTACAGTAATACAGTTTCGTTCTCTCTTCGCGAATTGTCGGACACGCACTCGAGATTGCTCGGAGTCAAATACGCGCGAGATTCCCGGCCACAAATATTGCAGTACGATGAAAAACGGCAATGCGCTTTAAACGACCTATGATGCGAATTGGATGGAAATTCGGTCAGTCGGTGATAGGAAGTGAGAGGAATGAACTTTTTGCCTTTGCAACCGCAAATCTATCGGCGAGCTTCGAGTAGACATTTCCGCGCTTTTCAAGCGTTTCCGATGATTGTCATCAATTTTTTCACTCGAACGGATACCTCTCGTCGAAAAATCAGCCGCGCCGATGCCGATGAAAGCCAATGTTCCATTCTCGGCGCAGTGGACGTCAAAATAACGGACGTCACTAATGACATCCTCGCGTTGCGCACCGCGTAACACGAAGGGAGAAACGATGTCTCGGCCGGCGTGAAAAACGTTGAAGTGTTGAAATTGCGCGCTCCCTCCCGGGGTTCGAATTCCGTCGCTCGTTCCGATCCGGAATATCCGTCCGCGAGAGCGCAATAATCAGGGCGCTTAACGAGTCGAAATGCGAACGAAAGGCGATTTCGACGCGCCCATATCGAATCGTGCGTGCATGGCGCGGGGGTTAATCGAGACCTCATCGTTCCGATCTTCCGCATCGCGCGGAAACATGGCGGGTGTTCTCGCTCGACAGTGAAATCCCTGTTTTTCCAACGGTAGCCCGCCGCCGCGGGGGTTTCCGCGTTTAAATATTCCCGAAGTATGCAAATGCTGTAAATTCGCTGGAAAATATACCGGGAGAGCCCGAGAGCCTGGGCCATCGAATCGTTCTAGATATCGCGAAACGCGCACACGTGCACGCGAAAATGTATTAACCCCGGTGGCTCGCCGATAATTTGCATAAATGGCCGACGGAATTTACGCGCGACCGCCATGTCGCGCGCGGCAACTTCAAAGCGGATTACAAGTTACCTGCCGATTTACGCGCGCTCATTATGCCTCTGTAAGATCCAGCGGTTAGCTGCACGTAGTGCAGCTGCAAGAAGTTCCCGACACTTTCGGAATAAACTCCCGGGCGCGATATATCTTCGGCTTCGGCGGTTCCACGTAACCGTTGTTCAGGCCGAGTGCGCGAATCTCTCTCCCCGGTGCCTGAACATAATTATATGTCCGCGAATGTAATTACGCGCCCCCGGAGATGTTGGCGGTGCACTTTGGACTGCAAACAGAACGATGACGATAATGACGTTGAAGTAATACGCGGGTGTTGACGCGCGATGGTGTAATAATAACGGCGGCGCACCGTATGCGCGAGCGTGATAATAATAAACGGATTCTGCATCAAAGGTATCTCTCGATAGAAGACATCCATTTCTCCCTTCGTCCTCGCGTTGTTCAGCCGAGTTCGAGCAAGCTTCGGTCGGGCAGGCGTACTTACGGAAAAATTTCACGGCCCCGTAAGTAAGACGGCCCTCGCGAGTCGAACGTGCCTTCCTAGGGCGCGCGCGTCCAATTTTCCATTCTGTATTTCTTCCGAAAACACGTCCCGTGTATTTGTAGCGTATTGGAAAAATAATCCCACCGCCGACCCGCCGTTGGCGCGAAGAGAGCTCGGAATGCAAATGCGTTTTATTGATAAATGCAGCCGGCTAACAAACACACAACACGCGCTCGCGTGTGCGAGCGAGATTCCGATTGAATGAAATTTGTTCTGCTTGCGTACATAAGACGCCTGATTTATCTTTCCCGGCGCAACGGGTGAAACGCGGATTACGTGCTGTGCATGTGTACATTCGGCGTTTCCTCCTTGAGAAATATGCGGCGAGATTCGACAGCGGCCTTAATTCTCCGGGAATAACCGTCGTAAATCAACCGGGCAGCACCTGCCGGGGCTCGACGAAAATGTGAAATATTTCATTAATACGTCGAGATGTCCGCGACGCCGTACTCGCGCGAGATGGACAGGAACGTGTTAATCAGCAACATAGTACTGGACACAGTACTGGACCGAGCATGGGGTGGAAACATTGTTGACAGACGTAAGAGGGGATAAGATATGCGGGTAGTGGCGACTCACGTGGACCGGAATTATGAAGCACTTAAGCTTGCGCACATCTCGTGTTGCTTAACGCTTTATCATAAAAAAACACAATAAACAATTTTGTATTAAATTTCAACACATTTCAAACGGTCCAAATACATTTTTCTGTCAACTTAACACAAGATGAATATGTTGGGAAATAAACAAACATTGTGTCGCGTGGGGTATGTTATCTTACGGAGCCGCGAAAATAATAAATATAAACACAAAATTAATGTGTTCATTGATATTAAAATATAAAATGTGTTATTTAACACTTACATGTTGAATATCGACTCAACATAAGATGTTGAGATAACCTGAACGCAATATGTTAAATTAACATGTACGGGTATGTTAAAAATTTAATACAAAACTTTTAACAAAGACCGAGCTTTTAACGCGAGCGCAATATGCTTTCACTATATATATTTAGTAATTATTTATTATTTAGAGGAGGAGGTAGTATTATGTCCTTTACCGGCCCTTCTTAATATCTCTGCTATTAAATGACGAATTCCAATAATTACTTATAAAATTATCTGTTCAGCAGCCCGCTGTTAATGGCGCTAATACACCAATATACAATATTTATTGCATTTATATTATCACTTATAATATATTTTTGCTTTCGAGCATTTCAAAATGTTTCCAACATTCTGGAGTTTAATTATACTTCGTCCATGTTTAAGACTTAAGTATTTTGTTCGTTATTTAACATTTTATTCCGCCGTGCACATTTCGAGTTATATAAAGTTATACGATAACATGATATTTTGCTAAAAGCCTTCCGCAAAAATAGATTTAATGCGGCTTTTTTCTCGAGGTTTTCACGCACATACATATATCAAAGAAATTCGATAAGTCAATAATTTAAATTTAAAATTATATTTGTAGAATTTTCATAAAAAACTGTCATTCTGATGGTTTGTATCTACCTTCATATAAGTCATCATATACATTAACAGATTCCGTGCCACGTTTTCGGTACATGTTGAACTCGACCTCACGCCAACTGATATTTTTGTCATTAAGAAAGCAAATACAGTAAAATAGTTTATCTTATCACCCATATACTCTGTTATCGTGTTTATTTATACCATTTATCAAGCTCCACATCGTGTACTGTTTCCAGTGGTGTGATTTGATAACGCTGCGTAAATTGAAAGTCGCATAAAAACAGTCCGACACAAAACATGTTAAAATTCACAGTTATACTCATTGTTCTTTCTAAAAGTTTATTTTGTGAATAAATATATAAAATTTTTCTGTACCACTATACTTTTTTAAACGAAACCTATTTTTTAGTCAACTTTAATGGAAAACCACATTTCCATCCCTGTTCCCCTTCGACTCATTGTCGCAACATTTTTATAAATAATGTCCTAAGCAATAAATTTATCATAACTTTGAATCTAGAATCGATTGAACAACATTTTGATGAATATAATTAAAAAATTTTTAATTTAAAATATCGATTATTGACAAAGTTATTGTACAAAATGTATGTGAGAATTCATATTATCACTTCCTCCTCAATATAATAATTCCAATTTTACACAATGTTTACATACAACGTTACACACTTACAGATCGCAAAGATGTTTCCAACTCATAAGAATTCTACCGAATCAATAAAATGTCCAACAGCAGGGCCAATGGGATAAACTTTGATTCAATGGCATATATCATTAACGCTACTATGTTATGTATTGCTTCAATAATTAAATCTAATTCAACGTTCAACTAATTTAATATTCAGTTCAATAGTACCAATGATATCACCGTTGAATCAAGAAGACCCATTCCAATCAAGCGTACTGTTGGAAATTCTATTAATTCGACCGAATTTTCTTCCGTGAACTGTTCTCGTTAGGCAAAAACCAATCAACGAGGTGATAGTTGAAAGGGATATCCGTGCCCGTACATTTCTCTCTTTTCGGGTCCGTCAACACGAAAGATCAAAGAAATTTTATGTCGAATGTCCCATCCCGTGTGTCGACGGTGTTAACGATGGCGACGAAGCACGACCGGCAGAGATGCAACGTGCGAGATGCGCGAATGCACTCTTGGCCGGGGCGGAACGCGATCTTTCAAGCGATCGTCGCATCCGTTCGCACACCGTCAACCATCCCTCTTTTCCGCACTTCCCGTAATGATCCCTCGCGCGCGAGGATTACTCGCAACGGGGCGCAACTTTCACTAAATGTCGCCGCTCGCGCGGGATTAGTTCAGACGGCTGGAAACTTATTCGGCGCCGTAAATAAGTTCGCCGATGCACACCGATGGTATGGCCAACCCGAGGTCTTCGGATGTATGATATCCGAGATTGAGGGGCTCATTCAAGCGCCGCGGCGCTCTGAATAGGGCATTCGCTCGACGACGAGACGAAAGCCGCAAGTTTTGATGAAATGCATTCTGTCCGCTGCAGTTGACGATGTAAGAAGGCCATGCGGCAAGCGTGCGCGAGGTAGCGGCGTGCGCGAGAGAAAGAGACGGGGAATCGAGACAGCGCGAAGGGGAGAATTCATCCCTTCGTCGGGTTTCTCTCTTCTTCTCTCTCTCTCTCTCTCTCTCTCTCTCCTTCCTGACTTTACTTCGACTTCATCTCGAGTTGTCCCCGTTTCGCGCCATAATCAGAGTTCAGCCAACTTCGCCTTTCTTCGCTCCTGCCGCAGTCTCCCCCCCCCCTCCCCCTCCCGCCAGACGTATTACTCCGCCTGCTCTCGCCCTCAAGTTTCTTTCCAGCGTGAATAGAATTTTGCCGGATGAAAAATCAAAGGTTTCAAACCATTCTGAAATTAGAATCAATTTACCGGAAGGCAGGCGGTTACGCGCGATCTGAGATGCAGATATTGCCGAGCGACTCGAGTTTATTTAA